TATTACCAAGACATTCGCTTTGGTTAATTTCTTCAATTCCCGACCTCGAACTCCGATTGTCATCATAAACCATTTTAATCTTCTCACTGTTGTCGATTTATTTTCTATTGCGTTTATCTATATTAGCTTGATCGATACCGAAATTTTTTACTACCGTGTTTTCTATGCGAATTAAAAATTGATAAAACAATAAACATGGAAGATCAAGATTAAAAAAAAATAAAATTATTAATATTATAAATATTATAAATGTATATTTTTTGGGATTTGATGATTTGTAACTCCCCATTAATTGTTTGGGAGTTACATATCAAATAAATTTATTGAAATACCCTTGTAATTAAAATGTGAGTATGACATAAATCTACAAGAAGAATGGAATTTGATTGGTTGTCATGGTTTTCAAAGTTAACACAAAGTTATTGGTTAACGTTTGATCTTCCCCATATATATATATATATATATATATATATATATATCGCCACCATATAAAGTGTTATAATCTTATGTATATTAAAGAAGAAACCACGTCCAGTGACGTGGCCTCTTCTAAGGGCTGAAAACTGATTTCTCTCCTCTCCCCTTTTCTCAAGCTTTATTAGTTAATATTTACTAAAAACCCTTCTATATTCACCGGCTTTCTTTTTCTTTTCCGTTTCCGTTTCAGTCTCCGTCTCCATTTCCTTTTCCCTTCACCCTCTCCTTCAAAATAGGGTTTTTGTTTTCTCTCTACTCAACCTGCCGCCTCTCCTTCTCTATCCCCCTCAACTTGCCTGATGACCCCCCTAAACTGCCCTTGCTTCCACATCGTTCCATTGCAACCGCCAGTTCCGTCATCACCACCACCACTTTCGTTCATCCGAGTATGGCCGGAAGTGGGTTTCTTCTCCGCCAGTTCTGCCATCACCACCACCACTTTCGTTGATCCGAGTATGGCTGGAAGTGGGTTTCTTCTCCAAAACATCTCTCCTCAACCTGCCGCCTCTCCTCCACAATCCCCCTCAACTTGCCTGATGACCCTCCTAAACTGCCCTTGCTTCCACATCGTTCCATTGCAACCGCCAGTTCCGCCATCACCACCACCACTTTCGTTGATCCAAGTATGGCCGGAAGTGGGTTTTGTGATAACCAGATCCTGGTTATTACCCAAGGTATTTAATACGTGATTATCTGATTTAATAATTACGTGATAGCATAATAATTGATACATGCCGGTATGAGAATTTGTGGATTAATCGGATATATATATATATATATTTGTGTGAGTATGTATATATATATATATACATATATTATGTGTTTATATGTATGCATGTATGTGTGAGTGCATGTGTGCATAGGTGTTATGTGGTATATGGGTATGTGTGGGTGCATGTGTTTAAGGATGAGGTGGAAAGGGGGAAGCCGGTTTAGCCGACTTACTATTTTTGGCAAGTATAAAAGGGGCTTCATCTCTTCAGTTACTCTCCCCTGCTATTTTGAGAAAAATTGAAAGGTTTAAAGAAGTGTTGTCTGGTTTACTAAAAGGAGGTGATTTCAAGTTGATTTCAAGTGTCAAGTTTCAAAAGGGTTGATTTCTAACGTTTTGGATTCAAAAGTTTTATAAGGTGAGTGGTTTCTAAACCTTTTTGTATAAAGATTTTACTGGTTTTTGTTTACATGCTTCGTATTGTCATCTTTGGAAAGAAACCTTGTTTATTTTGTCTAAGTGTTTATCCGGACAAAGAGTGACCGGATAAGCATTTAAACCGGACAAGTCTTAGACGGTTTATTGTCTGGATTGTTTAAAACCGGACAAGCCTTGAGCGGCTTAGTGACCGGACTAGTTTTAAACCGGACAAACCATGAGCGGTTTGTTGTCCGGAGTTGGTAAACCGGTTGAGTGTTGGGCGGTTTATAATTAGTAGTATTACTTATGATTTTATACTAAGAAATAGGAATACGACTACATGGGAAGCGGTTTATTTTTAAACCGGACAGGTCTTGAACGGACTGTTGTCTGGATTTGATATCCGTTCAAATATGTATTTGTTCTAAGTGTAAACCGTTCAAAAGATATGTGGTGTTGATCGGATTTGATGTCCGGACAAAGGTGGATTTATTTCTAAGTATTTAAATCGGACACTTGTTGACCGGATTTATTGACCAGATTCGTGATGATGTTTTATGAAATTGATATTTTAT